AGAGATAGGTCCATGGCGGCAGCCGCCACCGTCGCGCTGCCTTCCCTTCTGCTCTGCTGCTGCTGCTGGCTGCTACTGATGATCTGATGATGAGATGATGATGATGTGTGAGGTTGAAACTCGTGCTTATGCATATCTGCATTAACCAATAACGCCATAACAGCATAAAATAAATGCCGATAGGTGTTTCTTGAATGGACTAAGAATACACAAATCGCGTCACTACGATACAGGCTACCATACAACGACCATCAGACTGCGCGGCGGCCCGATGCACCATTGGAATCGCGATAACGGACCGAGTGTATAATAAATTGGCGATAAACAAGTATATACCGGTGCGCTTCGGCGGCCCACATGGATGCAAAAAATAAAGCACGCGAGAGAAACTGCCCGCGCGATTGTGCGAGCGACTTCTATTTTACATTTTATCGTCGGTCGCGACTTTCGGCTGCGCTTACATACGCGGCAAACACAAAGCGGGGAGCGTACACGCACGCGCACACACAGACAGATACGCACGCAACACGCCACGCACGCACACACACGCGCGCGCCGCACACACACACACACACACCACACACACAACACACACACACAAACACACACACGCGCGACGCGCACATGCACACCTTTATGCACTCGCGTTCAGCAGCAATGGGGGGTCAGAGCAGCTCACTAGCAGCGCGAGATATCGCCGTCATTCCGTTAAAAATGCATCATATGTGAACCGGCGCGATGCGCATGGAGAAAGGAGGAGGGGGCGTGGGGGAGGAGAAGGATGGAAGGGGAAAGGGAGAAAAAAAAAAGGAAGGGGCGCAGGGAGGAGGAGGTGGAGTGAGGAGAGAGGGCAAGGGAGGATGGGAGGAGGAAGGGGAAGGAGAAGAGAGGCACAGGGAGGGAGGGAGGAGGGGAGGGGGAGGAGACGAGGGGCGGGAGGAGGGGGATGGGGAAAGGGAGGAGAGAGAGGGCGCGGGGAAGAGGAAGGGGAGGGGAGGAAGGGCGAGCAGGGAGGAGGGGAGGAGCGAAGGGGAGGAGAGGAGGAGAGAGGAACGGTGCCAAGAATGATCATGAGAACAAAGCGAGGAAAAAGTGGGAAGAGGGGGAAGAAAGCAGCTGCGGATAGAGAAGTGTCGGATACAGAGAAAAGACAAGGCAAGATTTACAATTATTAAATGTTATTTTTTTCAGGAGGAGCGGGTACATGAGACGAGGTAGAAAGTAAAGAAAGGGAACAGGGAGCGGAGAGTGGGGAAAACTAGGAGGAAGGGAAAGGGCGGAAAAGGGCAGAGGGCCAGAGGAGGAGAAAGTGCAGAGGGGCGAGGATGAGCGGGAGGAGAAGGGGAGAGAAGGAGAGGGGGAGAGGGGGAGAGGGGGAGAAGGTGTGCGCAGATGCCGACGGTTGCATTTCGGCTTACGTGCGGGCGGCGAGTCGTTGCCCGAAACAGGAAAATGTCAGAAAAATGCGGCTCGACCGCGAACAGAGGCGGCGGGCGGAGCGGGCGGCGGCGGCAAGCAAGATGGCAGACGGCGGCAGGCGGCGGCGGGGTATATGTTAACTTCGGCGTAATTCATGACCTTCCAGAACCAATTCGTACGGATTTTACGGGCCGACGAACTGGCCAGCTCTTTTATACTCTCACCACCGCACCGCGAGACGGTTAGAGACAGTGAAGGGGAGGGAGGAGGAGGAGGAGGAGGAGGATAGGGGAAGGGCCGAAAGGCGAGAACAGACGGGCCGGCGAGTTGACGAGATGGGATTTTCTCCGTCAGCAGCGGTCTGTCGTTGTTGTCAGGTCTCCCGAGGGGGGGGGGGGGGGACTAATGCGGTCGTTGTGTGTCGTGTGTGTGTGTGTGGTGTGTAGTGTAGTGATGTGTGCTGCGCTGCGTAGCGTGAGTGCGTGCGCGCAGCGTGTGTGTGATGATTGTGTGTGTGATGTTGTGTATGGTGTGTGTGTGATGCGATGTGTGTTGTGTGGTGGCAGTGTGTGTAGTTGTGTGTGTGTGTTGTGTGGGTGATGTGTGGCGCGTGTGTGTGGTGTATGTTGTGTGTGTGTGCTGATGCGTGTGTTCGTGTGGTGTGTGTGTGGTGTGTAGGTGCGTGCGTGTGTGTGGTGTGTGCGCGTGTGTGTGTTCGTATGTGTGCTGTGTGTGTGTGCATGTGTTCGGTGGTGGTGTGATGTGTGTGTGTGGTGTGTGATGTGTTGTGCGCGCGTGGTGTGTGTGTGTGTGTGTGTGCGTGTGCGTGTGTGTGTGTGTGTGCGTGTGTGTGTGTGTGCGCGCGCGCTCGCACGCACGAGGGTTTGCGGCACGCGGGACACGTCCACGACGCGCGGCTGCGTGCGCACATGCGCGGCTGCGTGCGCGTGACGACTGCGCATGTGCGCGATTAACGGCCCACAGTGAGATTACTGCTTTCATCTTTCATCTGGCCGACGTAATTATGCGAGAGATAGGGAGCGCAGAGAGGTGGAGGGGGAGGGGAGGGTGAAGGGAGAAGAGGGGAAGGAGAGGGGATGCGAGGGAGAAAAGAGGAAGGGACGGGGAGGTGAAGGTCCCCTGTGAGATGGGAAAGGAAAGGAGGCGAAGGAGAGGGAAGGGTGAGGGAGGAGAAGGAGAGGAAAGGTGGAGGGAGGGAGCGGATAAGAGTAAGATAGGAGGGGAAGGGAAGGGAAGATAAGGGAAGGAGAGGAGTGGGTATACAATGGATTAAGTAGTAAAGAAGCGTAAATCGATAAATCAACGGCCGAAGAAGATACGACCGAGGCATAAATCGATATAGATACATGCAATGTATGTTACATAATGTGAAAAAAACTCATGTAAGAAACAGGAATGTTTTTACAAATGCCCCATGAATATATATTATGCACTTTTTACTGGTCTAATGCTACGTAACATCTTATTAAACACGTGCAAAAACATTATTCATCCATTATATCGGAAACAGTTAGAACATTAACAAGAAACAAATACTGTCGTCAAATCACCACCAACCGTCTACTCAAACGTCGGATGAGTTCGTATCGATGCCGTGGCGCCATCTATATTCGGAAATAGTAATAACACGCCGCGTTCGTTACACAGCCTCATCTAACCTTGCTACCCCAGCGCCCTCTCGATTCGACAACAGTGGGGCTCGTTGTCAAAACTTTGTCTGTGCGGCTGGCGGATTTTTCGGCGCTTCTTCATTATTATTTGGTGGTTGCGTCATCGAGTAATCGTTCGTGACCTGTGTGCCGGAAACGGATGGTCTGCCCTTTGGAACGGGTCTCATGGACGGGAACTTGTGATACAGTGTGCGTCTCAGACAGGCATGCACCTAAAAGAACAGTTAAAGGCAATTTGTATTTGTGAACCGACATAAGCGCGCCAAGGTACATAAGGTATTAAGCAACATAAGGTATCGAAACCTCTCTCTCTCTCTCTCTCTCTCTCTCTCTCTCTCTCTCTCTCTCTCTCTCTCTCTC